ATAAATAACCAGCTGAGATCTTCAATGGCAGAGGAATGATCAGTGGGCTGGAAGTGATCAGCAGGATCAACTAAGTTGTCTATCAGATCTCTATCAATGATGTCATCAGTGACATTGCAAACAGAGAAGCAGGAAGTTCATGTTTGACTAAATAGAGCACTGAGGAAGAACAGAGGAACATAGAGACCAGTTGTGGGTTAAGGTTCATGTTTTCAGGTGAAGCATTTATAGAGTTTTAGGAACGAATTATTCTACTTTATATGTCATTTCATTTCCTACCTGGTTTCAGGAATCTTTTTATTTCCATTATTTAAGAACATGCTTCATATTTAATGTTTGATTTAATCGTGCTGTTAGGGTTGTTAAGTTTCCCCAACTTTAACCTATAAAAAAGGAAACAAAGCCAGTGTAAGATTTTTCCTGAAATGCTTTGCAAAGGGGAAACAGAGTTGAAAAATCAATCTCTGCAACTCTGCTTGGCTCAACACTTGCCCGGCTTTTTACTGATCAGTCAACACATTACAACAGCAGGCGTTATTTTCGATTACGCAATCTCTTAGACATAGCATGAACTTTTAAGATAGGGAACTTGCCTGGTTTCAGCTTATGCTTTACACAAGGTGTCGGGGTTATGACCTTTCACTTCTGTGAAACAGGAAAGCATTCTTGCAAAACATTTGACCGTCTTATGGCCTTCATACACTATTTCCAATGATGAGTAACATATAGAACATATAAAAGCAATATAAAACATAAATGAATAAAATGATAAAAACAACAGAAATCATAACTCTAACAATAACACTTTTACATTAAATACACTGCATATTAGTTTGTTTATTTTATTACCTTTATTGATACTAGATAATGGCACTGATGGTGGTCAAAGGGCCACCATCAGTGTATGAGTGTGTGGGTAAATGGGTGAATGAATGAATGTAGTGTAAAGCGCTTTGGTCAAGTCCTCTCACTTGAAACAGCACTATATAAGTACAGGCCATTTACCATTTTACAGATAAATAAAACTGTAATAAAACAGCTTTAGCAGATCTACAATAAGTTTATAGCAGGTGTGAACGACCTGATCATCTGGCTCTAAATCATAGTATCAGAAAAGGGCCCCAACATCTAATTTTGCTTAGGGCCCAATAAAGGATAGGCCGGCCCTGATTAAGTGACAGCTGCACACATGGTTTTTGAGATATCAGGGATTTATTTGTTTGCTGCAAGCTTTAAAATTTCTTCATAATATAATCTTTTATTTTGACAGCAGCACAAACTCTTTGTGCATATGAAACTGGTTTGATACAGGAAATACCTCTCGGCATTGACACCTGTGTTAAGAAGAAATGTTTCTTGCATAGAAAAACAAAGACCCCACAGAGAATGTCAGAAATCATTGTTATTCTTTATGTTTTTCTAAAATTATTCTTCCATCTTTGTCTCTTTATTCAGAGGTTGTTGGTCGATGTCAACGTGACCTTAAAGCGTCTTTGAAGAAGGAGTTTGAATGTGTCTCTGAAGGCGTTGCTAAAGCTGGAAAGGAAACCTTTCTGGATGAGATCTACACAGAGCTCTACATCACAAAGGGAAAGACTACAAAGGTCAACGATGAACATGAGGTCAGAAGGATTGAAGCAGCATCCTGGAAACAAAACAGAGCAGCAGAAACAATCAGATCAGAAGACATCTTTAAATCACCAGAAGGAAGGAGTCAGATCAGAACTGTGATGACCATGGGCGTGGCTGGCATCGGGAAAACAGTCTTAACACAGAAGTTCACTCTGGATTGGGCTGAAGGCAGAACCAACCAGAACATCCAGTTCATATTTCCATTCACCTTCAGACAGCTGAATGTTCTGAAAGAGGAAAAGTTCAGCTTGGTGGAACTGATTCATAAACACTTTAAGCCAATCAGAGACGAAAGGATCCATAGCTTTGAAATCTTCCAGGTTCTGTTCATCTTAGAT